GACCACAGACCAGAGATTTTAATAACCGTCATAGTCACAGAAATCTAAACCCTAGCACATTATTCCTCTTATACATACACGTTTAGTTCTACATATGTATTTTGTTAACCTCTCAGTATTTTTTAGGTTTTGCTCTGGTTTTTTTCCTATTTAGATGTTTAGCTTTAATGCTTATGTCGATAAAAATTAATTTTGTAATTTTTGTTTTCATTCTTTTTGTTGTTTTTGTCACTTTAATTGATCGTTTCTTTCGGTTATACACATTATGATCATTCTTTTCGTTATGTCATATTTATTATAATTATTAACATGTATTTTTTTGTTCTGTTCTCTTAGACTTCATCCCCAAAGTTATTTAAGATCTTACGTGTAATAATAAACGTTTGTTTCCTAGATCACTGATTCCAGCTTGTGCAATCATATTTTAAATAAATCCAACAGATAATTACAAACAAATCATTAAAATATTATTTTCCTTTTACATGCTTTTTTACTTTTTCTATTTAACAAATTTCTTTTTTCTTTGTTTTTTTTTAACACTCGCAATTTAATTAGTTTTAGTTTTTAAAAAATAAAAATAATAGAAATTACTTTAGCCGATTAACTCTTTTAATTACCTATTTTTTTACAAATTTCTTTTTTTTGATTTTTTTTAACACTCTAAATGGTAGACTTCATAGGACTTTGAACAAAGTTATAACAGTCATTGTTATTTCTGTTTTTTTGTTTGTTCATTAAGGAGAAAATGGTAATTTTCCTATCTTTTTAGGTTACTATTGCTTAATATTGAATAAATGATCTATTTTTGTATTTAAAATCAAATTTTAAGTTATCTTTCGCAATTCTTCTATTTAACCTTCGAACAATAATAATAATTATTATAATTATAATTATATAATATCTTGGTTATGATATCTCGTGGAATGATGAATTTGAGTTTGAATTATTATATTGGTTATGGGTTTATAAAGTCATTGTCACTTGTGTTCAATATGATGAATACCGATGTTGATTTTAAATGTTTTGTATAATAGTTTTTCACCAATCAAATTAAATTGATTTGAATTGGTCAGCCTTTGTTACTTGCGTGACATACATTTGATGCAAAAATATTCCACAACAAAATATCCAAGTTGATATATATTAACCTTTACAAAAACTAAATAATATTAAATAGTTAGACAGTAAGTTTTTTTACAAAAACAAAAAAAAAACAAAAATAGTAATAAACCAGAACAGAGTCACATCTATTCATATACGTGACTTCCACAATTTTGAATTTCAGATATTTAACAAAAATTTAAAATATCTAAATCAGAAAAAAAAATAATAGATTAAAACAAACAAATGACAACAAAATATGAAAATTGTAAATAATTTTCTTAAAAAAATTATAGATGAGATCATTAAAAAAGGAAAATTCTCAAAAATGGCCCAAAAAACTAAATTTTTTCAAAAAGAGTCCTCTTTTTCACAGGGACAAATATACAATTAATTAAAACAAAAAACACTATTAGTTCTAATTTTATTTCCTCCTCCATGAAAATCATAAATCTCACAAAAATCTTCATTGATCGTCTCACTACTTCCACCGCTGTCAGTATTCATTTGGAATTTGATGGAATCGTCGTCGAAGTTAGCAAATCTTCACTCTGGAAACCGAGCTAATCCCAACTTGGTCTCTTTCAAACAATTTTCCAACTTCTTCGAAACCTTAATCGAAATCTCAAATTTTAAGGAAAAAATTGGGGATTTTGAAAACTTTTGTGCACAAACTATAGGTTTTCGGCAAAAATCTGTTTTTCTTGAATCTTAAATCATTTTGGAACCATTTCCAAACTACAGATCGTCAGAAATTCGAAACTCAGGTCTAAATTTTCAATATGGGAAAGCCTCCCTAATATTCAAGAATGAATCATAATGGTTTAGGAATGTCTTCCTGAATCATTAGACCTTCAGGAATACCTTTAAAATGTTTATGTAATTGTTGTTTATATACTTACAAGTCTTAATAATTTGTATTAATCTTTGTATCATTGATTTTGTTCACAGATTTAATTATACATGTTTACATGTACAAACATGAACAAGTCTTAGGAAGCCTTTCCTAAAACATTAAGAAACTTTATTGAATTTTCAATTCAGGAAAGCTTTTCTAATTTTTAGGAAGGAATTCTTAAAAAATTTAGGAAGGTCTTTCTGAATAATAAACCTTCAATGATCATGTTTTAAATATCTCTTAAAGATTTCGAATATATAAAATGTTTATGTATTGTTGTTTAACAAACCTTTTCTCTTGATTTGATCGGGTCTAAGACATTTTGTGATGAATGAAGATGATTGAATACCATTAAGAAGCAAGTAGGTTTGCAATGCTTTTGATGACTATGTTGATTCAGACCAAAAATAAGTTGTTTACATTTTAATTTCAGACCAAACTGCAGATTGTTAAAATTTTGGAATCCATGTCAAAATTTTCAACCTAATGCCTCCCTAAATATTCAGGGAGGATTCATAATAATTTAAGAATGTTATCACGAATCGTATATCTTTCAAAAAGAACAATAAAAAGAGCAATAAGCAAGTGATCTATATATTTTGTGACGACGATGAATCCAAAATTGAAATCATTGACGGTTTACTGATAAAGAATATGTCAATCATGTTAAAGAGATACTAAGAGAAGTGTATGGTGATTCATACAGATCGGAGAGAGATCCAAAATTTTTTCAAGACAGAGCATTTCTCAGCTCGATAAATGCATACGTGGGATTAATAAACAAATACATGTTATCGGAAATACAAGGTAAACATATTCAACGCTTTATAAATATAGATATATGATCTTACACTTGAGTTTCATATCGTTATTTTAAGTTATACTTAGTGAACTTCGTTTAACATTTTTTTAGGTGAGGAACATACCTATTTTAGCTCAGACAGTATTGATACTTCTACTAAGGGCAAGATTGACGAAAAAGTCTACACCCAGGAATATCTTAATAGTATTAATATCTCAAAAGTGTCGAACCATGAATTGAAATTGAAATTATAAACACATATTATTGTGCTTTGGAATATTGAGGCTAGAGGTGGTTTATGCAATGGAACAAGACTCTTGGTAATACAATTGGCCAAACATGTTATATAAGCTAGCCACATAACTGATGAGTATATTGGTCAAAATGTCTTGATCCCACGAATGTTTGTTTCCCCCTCCGAGACAAGATTTCCTTTCAGAATGAGGCGTAGACAATTCCATGTAGCCATCGCCTATGCAATGACTATCAATAAAAGCTAAGGACAGATTTTGCAAAAGGTTGAACTGTATTTACCAAAACCCATATTTTCCCATGTTACTTCGAGAGCTGGTTTGAAGATTCTGATAACGGATACTATGGGTAAGCCATAAACCAATACTTTGAACGTTGTATACAAGACCGTCTTTCAGAATGTAAGGAAACGATAGTTTATTTTATTTGTTTTGGTTTAGACCTTTACTAATTAAATGGTTTGTTTTAATGATATCTTGGTTTATTTATGGTTCAGAATTGATACTTTTTTTCCATTAATAGTTGTCTTGATTGTCGAGAATCGATATATTTTATTAAACATAAAGAAAATCGAGTACAAAACCATAATGGTGTTTGGAAAATATACACTGAAAAAAACTGCAACTTAAAAATCTGCAGTATTGGAATGTTGTACATCAGCAAATATTGATGCACATAATGATAATGGTCACGGTTGATAAAGTGATGAATTTTTTCAAAAGTACCATTTTATCCAACTATTAAAACTTTTCACCATTATAAAAAAATAAAATAAATAACTGTTTCATGATAGCTAATATTGTTAAAACAAAAGAATATTAAAACATATTATTTCAAAATATTATATATAATTTACAAACATCCCACCGCGTTTGGCACGAATCCCATCTAATTTTAAATAAAACCGAAGTACCATTTTGTTATCAGAAATAGCACCGAGTCTACTCATGGAATTCACCAAAAATGGGAAAATATGGGTGTACATAGATGAGCATGTCTATTCAAATTATTTATACAAAACATTAATCATGTTGACAGAAATGTGTTTTTACTATAACGTTATAAACGAAACAAAAAGCTTTCTCTCTCTTCTCTCACTTCTATCTTTCAGAGAGAGAAAGCTTTCTTTCGTTTTTTGGTTGTAAATTCTGATTAATCGGTGTTAGTTACCGATTTTCCTTTTTTGGTGATATCCGGATTTAGTTTCTTGTTATGGTTTTCTTTTTCTCCTTTGCAGGATCTATATCTCACCTTCGAAGAGACAAATCCCGAGAAATTATTCAGAGTTCTATGTTCATCACTCTTTATTACTTGCATACAAATATAAATCTTCATATCATCTTATGGGCTGTTGAACCAGTTCGGATGAAGTTTCTCTATATGCTGTCAATCGAAATATGTGAATACCTTCGATCGATTTAGTTTCAGACTTAGAAGAGTGTGTTTGCATCTGTGTCTGGTTCGCTAGATCTAACGAGGTGTTTGGCGCTTCACTAATTCGATGGAGTTAGAGATCTCCATTATCAATTGCTCGGCGAGCTCTGCAAAGGAAGATGTAGGTGTGATACACTTTGAAGTCCTGATTTGGCAAAGAAGATTGTCGTGGAGGCGAAGACCGGCGATTAATTGGTGATGGAGGTAGAGTAAACCGGCGGAATTCCCAAACTTCTTCTTTTAATGTCATGTGGGTCTGGGTTTTTCTCTCTTAAACACGTGTTCTTAAACGTGTAATGTTGTAATGTGTTCAATTTTGTTTTAGACCTGCTTATATGGGCTTAATTTGTATCACTTACATTGTCCTTTGGGCTTTCGTCTAATAAAAAACGAGTTGACAAAAAAAACGAAACAAAAAAAGTTAAGGGACCATGTTGTTAAATACAATAAATAAAGGGGCCGTTTCTCAATACATTAAAACTACAACTACCCAGAAAAAAAATCTTCATAATCTTGTTCACCGAATCTTCTGCTAGATTGTCCTTTGTTTCCAAAAGCACGAATCGCACGAAGAAGAAGAAGAAGTCAAAGACGATACACACAACAATGGCGACCTCATCATCATCCTCTTACCTCTTCCTCCTCATCGCGATCATCGTCTCTTCCCTTTCAGTCTCCACCATCGCCGCTCGTCCTTGCAAAACCTTCCTCATCTCCTCCTATTCCCTCTCAATAACCCCAGAAGAAAACCCTAACCACGAATCCGATCTCTCCTCCACTCGATTCGTCACCGTCTTCACCATCCGCCGTCTCAATCCCCACCCAATCGTACCTTTCTTCGTCAATCGCCGCCATGGATTCCTCCCTTCCGCCGTTGAGAAACCTCAGATCCAACGATCGGAGGACGATCGTGCCCAATCAGCCTTCCCTATGATCTTCGATAACATCAATTCGTTCAGAGACCGAACCAGAGACATCCTCAGCGTCGTCGTGGCTCTCTTGTTCGGCGTCGGTTGTGGTGCCCTAACCGCCGCGACTATGTACCTCGTCTGGGCTCTTGTCGTGAATCGCCATAGCTACAATTTCGAGGAAGATGATTTCGAGAACGATGAATCTGATGAAGCTAGCTTGAAGAAATTGGGTTACGTCAAGATCCCTGCTCCAGTTTCAGCTCCTGTGAAGGAAGCTGCTTAATTCGAGGTTGTTCTTATCCTAATACCCAAACAGCAAAAACAAACAAAAATTTCCTTTTGTGAATTCAGTTTCTGCATATTATCATCAGTGTCTCTGCTTTTAACGTTGTTGTCTTATCTATGTTGCGTATCAGTAAATTCGAGTCTTTTATGGATTTATCTAAACCTAATATACTTGAAATTCGAGTCATTTATGATTTGTAGTGGATGTTTATAAATTATAAATTGTGTAAGTGTGTGATTATGATGTTAGTTCTTGTTTGCAGATAGCTTATTCACTATCTTGATATCAATAAGGTTCTTTTAGGTGCTAATACTTAAATGGTTTGATCATGCAGACTTTGGTTTAACATCATTTTCGGTTTCGGTAACTCTATTTTCTCTCTGACTCGCTAGACGCTAAAAGGGAATTTGTGTGGTGTTAAGAGCTTTCAAGCATTGTAAACTCCTGATAGTTCTACTGCTTAACGACAGTTTAGTCATCTTTATATATGTTTAGAGCTTAAAGCTTGACGTTTTTGAATGAGGAGAAACAATTGGTTAATTTTTAGTGCCTTATGTTCTTTCTGGATCTAATTTGATACCTTTGGTTCTTGTATTTTGCTCTAGTCTAGTAGTGATTCTGCGTAATAACAAGTTGTTGTTATGTTCTGTCTCTTCTAGTCCTTTTCTATATGTCATCTTTATGTATGTATAGAGGCTAGAGCTTAAAGCTTGACGTTTTAAATGAGAAGCAACAATTAGGTAACATTTTGTGCCTCATGTTCTTTCTAGATCTAATCCTTTGATACTTTTGGTTCTTGGGTTTTGCTCTAGTCTAGCAGTGATTCTTAAATTTGTTGTTATTTTGTCGGGTTTTGCCTCATGTTGGGTTTCTTCTAGTTTTTATTTATATATATCATTTTGATTCTAGCTTGTTTCATGTTAGAGTTTCTTGTAAGCCCCAGTGTTGTGTAGACTTTAATTTTTCTTTTGTGTAACACACAAGATTCAAGCTTTTTGCTTTCAACCGCCTTTACTTCTTGCTATTGAGATAATTGATTATGTGATCAAATTGTTGTATTGATTTCCCTCATGTTACAACGCAATATTCGTCTAATTTTCAATTCAAGTGAGGCAAAACGTGTTGTCGTGGCACACCGGACCTTGATTGATCCATCGTGTATTCCTAAATTATCTTTTGAAAAATTGACAACTATAAACACAAAAAGACATAATCACACAACTAAGGAAGAGTTATAACGATTAACAACCTGAGTTAACATTACCTAATACAGGATCTTATGTCTGAGGACAATGCCCTAGAAGTTCTTGCGAAATGGATAACATACATATAAACGTCCAAACGAGACAAGTAAATAGAAACAGTCGAGAGGATGATAAGAGATGGATATAATTGTTCTAGAAATGGGTCAGGTTCTGTGGGTAGGAACCGTTGCTGCCTCCTTCACCATGTTCTCCCATTTTCTGCACATCTTCCGGCGACAGAATCTTTATGTACCACACGCTATTCACAAATGACCTGCAAGATTTTTTCACCATTTCTTTCAATCACAGTTTGTGTAAAACTCCCAAATCTTATATGAAGAGGAAGAGAAAGAGAAAATGTACTAACTCCCAAGGATCATCGCCGAGAAGAAGTACATCATCCTCCTTGTCCACGAATACAAGCTGCCAGCCTGATCTAAAGGCGTCTTCCAACAACCCTTTGATATCAAACATCTTACCCAACTCTTCTCTCAGCTCATGATAGCTGCTAAACCGAGATATGTCGAGTGAACGCCCCACTGAACCAGATTTATAAACCTGCACATAATCATGAACCATCCACTATTACTGTTCTATACAACAAACGAATGGGTGAAAGAAAAATCAAAAATTTACTTAAAACAGCACCTTAACAAAGTTCTTTGTCTGTCCAGCTCCATGCAATAACTCGGTAGTGTCTTGCATGGATCCATATAACGAATTCTGGAATCCAGAATCTGTTAGTGGCATTGAGGAGGTATCAGCATCTGCTGACAAAGTACCAAAATGAGGAACCGTGGTTGGGAGGAAAAGTCCAGAGTCCGAATCAACACCAAAGAGAGAGAGGTTTTGTGTATTTGGAGGTTCCAGAGAAGGACTTGTTCCACCATAGGCTTGTCGAAGAGACAACGGCTCGGAAAATTCGTTAGTTTCAGGATGAGAGTGTTTAAGAGACCAAACCTGTGTCGGTATTTGCTCAGAATGTACAGATGACTGACCAGTTATAGAGAAGTTCAAGAGATTGCTACCATCTCCAGAGCCCTGAAGGGTCGAGTTTTGCTGTTGTACTGGATTAGCTGTTGAGGTGAATTTGTTGTTTAAGTCTGCGAAATCTGATTTCATGAACGAAGGAGAGAGCAAATCAGAATGCTGCCACACACGGTTTGGTTGCTGTGGTTGTCCAGTTACTTGGTTACTAACTTCTTGTCGCAGGTTCTGCTGAGGAAGATTCTCAGTCATCTGAGTTTGAGCTTGCAGAAGATGGCGAGGGAGTTGCTGCTGTGATGATGCTTGGTGATGTTGCTGAAGCAGCAAATCAGAATTGTGGAGAGAAGCTGATTGTTGAAGGTATTGGTGGTTTGGCTCTTGGAGCTGCACAAACTGCTGTCTTAGAGGATCTCCACCTCCAATGTTTTGCAAACCGGCTGCTAACATTGCTTGGTACTGCTGATTCTGATCAGTTCCTAGTAGACTCTGTTGCATCCATGGGAACAAACTAGCAGATGGATAGTTTAAGGGAAGCATGCCATTCTCTCCAGCTCCACCTCTAAACCATGTTAGGCCACTTGCTATGTCACCCCTGCTATCTGTAGCATTACAACAACTATGTCAATTACCTAAGAAGAACGAACGATATTTGGCAACAACCCAAGGCCCCTCAAAGCTAACCTATCATAAGAATCTAGAATTCTAACATGCTCACAAATAAATTTTTGCAGCTGCATCACTAACACTTACATATTGAGAAAGATAGGCTTACCATCTGCAACTTTTCTCAAACAACATTAAATAAATAATTTTCTTTTCTGCTCAAACTTCATGCCTTAAATTTGGTCTACTAATCTTATCTTCCCCATATTTTCAACTAATACCAGGTCAAATAGTTAGTCTAAGCATGATTGTTTAATATCCTACAAACAGGAGGCCAATGGTGGATACCGTGCATTGACGATGCGCCCGGATGCCAAGGACGCTTTAGCCTGAGAGGAAACAGTGATGGATACATGGGAAAAGTGGTAAGAGGTTCAATCTCCCATAAAGAAGCCCTTGCCTGTCTCTCTCCAGCGGTCGATTCATCCCAACCAACCTACATCAAGAATGTTTGGATCTTTCAATGTTAAATGGAATTTTTAGAAAAATTTCTCAGCTGAAAGGAAAGTACTTATACATTTGTTATCAATCATTCTCTTAACAGATACCAGAAGATAGAGTAAACTACTGAAACAAGATAGAGAATAAATCATCAGATTCTGGCGCATCATCATCTTTGTTATGAACTAAAGGGTTGAAATATGAATTACCTTCACCGACCGCCAATGAGAGTTTGGCCAACGAACAGAATCCAGATCACCAATGCCAGTTATAGTACCCATGTACCTGAAAGATACCACGTTATTCTCAGAATATGAGTTGTTAACAACATGAGTGTGACACTATGACCAGGAAACAGAAAGATATTTCAGAATTGCACTTCCAAGTTAACTTTACCTTCGAACGCTTGACTCTTCTGTCTCAAAGAGCATACGAAAGCGCATCCCGACTGAAATACGCGTGTGAAAAACGGCCTTAATGTACTTGGGAAGTGGTAGCACAAACTCAGATGAGCTAGACCTGAACATGAGGAGAATACCAGTTAATGATTTATAAGATACTGTGAGGAGGAAGAAGCAGTGGAAGCAGTCCAACCTTGGATGATAAAACACTGTAAAACAGCTATTAGTTGCAGCCGCATGAGCAGCAGCAGCGAGGAGTCCAATATGCATGCTATCACTAGATAACATAGATGATGGTACAATAGTCTGTGGTCGACTGGCATGACGAATTCCCAAAAGGAGTTGATTCCTTTCATTCCTGAAAACAGGAAATAAGGTTAATATGGTAATCAATAATCAATATGCAGTAAAGGAGTGTACACAGGAAGAGTAAATAATCAATATGCAGTAAAGGAGTGTACACAGGAAGAGTAAAACCTGATGAAAATGACAGAATCTCCAGTCACAAGTCGCTTGGCACTGACAAAAACACTCCAACCAGTTGTAAGCAGATGCCGTTTGGGCTGTCCTGCAATAATACACCAGGGAAATGTAAGAAATTGGCAAAGAAAGAACAACAAAAGGGACTTCAATTGTCAACAAGTTATATAACTACGAGAATGCATAAAATTTATCTATAAAACATAACCAAACAAGGGGAGTGGGAACAGAAGACCATTGCGACTGTATATATTAACTTAACAGAAATCAAATAAACAAAATGAAAACTGAATTTCGTTTTGTGGAGACATCATTGGTCTCTTGTTAGTATCAGCAAGTTCGTCACTTCTCCAAAAACTTATCTTCCAAATTTAGCACTAAACATCCGTCAAAAGGATATGATTCTGATTTTGTTGGAGAGCTTATGTATTTACTAGATGTCCATGATATCTCATAACACCATTCTTTTTGGATTGTTTTTCACTTCCCTTCTTTTTAACTACACTTCAAAGCACCGCCTAGAACTAGCTATTTAGAATACGTGCATAAAAGCATATACCATTTCCAAAACAGAATACATAACCTTGTTCTTGCATCAAAATAATATACCCAAAACTTCTAAGAACATACTAAACAGCCACATAAAAATGATCACGGCCAGCACTAAATGGAGCCAAGGACTAAACCAACTCAACAACGCAGCTATATTTAGTTAAAAGGATCGACTCAAAGAAGAAAGGTGAGACCTACCGCGAAAGATATGCCTAAACTTCCATTCATTATCATGAAGATCCCTTGCAATCAACTCCTGTGCTGGTGGCTGCTGTGTGTAATCCTACAGAATGGAAAAAGGCGAGATATCTCAGGGAGTACATATCTCACAGTATTAGAATTACCCACAATACTAAGCAAAAGTACCTACCAATGGAGGAAAAACTTTCTCAGCAGCACGTCTAGGAACAGAAAACCCTCCATGTGTACTAGTATCACTCGCTGTCAAAGTCTTGCAGAAATAATTGCTAGGCTGCTTGCTCGGGATTCCCAACTCAATCGGTACAAACGTATCCTTCTGCTCCTCCTAAAACCCAAAAGCAGTAACTAAACAATCAATGACAGCTCAAAAGAATCATTGCATTAACCTATAAACAAATATTAAAACCAATCAGTTAACCTGTGTCAATGGTTGAAGTACCATTTGGGCATACACCTCATCAGTCTCCACGTCTGCCTAAAAAATTACAAAAACAAACATCCCATACTTACAACACAACATCCCAAAAAAAACCACTTCAGTTATTGAGAGAAAAAGACAGGGAACTAACAAACTACGCACATGCATTGTAACATTATGGAGCTGACATATTAGTTGTGGTGGTAGACTTGGGTAATTGGGTATGTGACCCTCAACTTCCTTATTAGTAGTAGCAGCAACCTATAAATAGAAAAAGGCTCCTTAGCTTTGAGACTTCTTTGCAAGTTCCCATCATAAATGCAAAACAAATCTAAAGAATGAAAAGAAAAAAAAAACACAAAACCGTTGATTAAAGATTTGGTCTTAAGAACCTGTTCGCTGTGACCTTGTGGAAAATAGACAACTCGGCTTCCAGATGATGGAAGAGAGACCAATGGTCCAGCACAAGCATGCCATAGCTCAGAATTAAGACACTTCTTTTCTCCTGTTTACACAACACACGGAATTCAAGAAAACTAATCCTGAAAATGAACTAATCAAGAAAACGAATATTGAAAATGAAACTTGGGAAGCAAAGAGAGACAATTTCTTTCTTTTTTCACTTACCTTCATGACTCTGGTGACCAAATCCAGATGTTGAAAGATTCATGTTTTAGAGAGTAGAGAAACCCCCAAAATCTTGCTTTCTTCAAAACACTAAAAACTGAAATTAGCAAAACCCTAATTTTCCGTACGATTTTTTCTTCACTTCCAGCTACTACACCAGCTATAAATCTTGAGCTTGAGGAAGACAAATTCTTCCTTCTCCATCTCCTTTTTTCTCTTCTTACCCCCACCCAAAATTTCACACTGTTCTCTCACCGGCGAATCAGAGAAAACCCATTTCGCAGAAGCTCGAAAAAAATCAGGCTTTTACCATTAGAACACTGAGAACAAAAGCTGAGCAGATACGCATTGGAACATTTGAAGAAGAGAGACAACAACAAAAACGCTCGCAGTCAAATCTTTGTGGAGAAAGGAAGAGAGATAGAGGAAGAAGATAAGGAAAATCTGTCTCACTTCGCTTTCCGTGGCATTTAAAATCCCTCGAAGCAGTTTCCGTCGCTGTCTAGACTTCAAACAGTAGTGAGGGAGAGAGAAAGAGATAGGTGAGAGAGAGAGAGAGAGAGAGAGAGAGAGAGAGAGAGAGAGAGAGAGAGAGTTAGAGAGGTGTTTCACATTTTTATTATATTGATGGCTTATTATCCGGATGATAAATAGCGGGTAAGAAAGTCGGAAACGGATTATTCGGATATTGAAAATTAATTGAAAACGAGTTATTGGAAATTGATAAAATACTATCTGATATAGGTTCAATAGACATAAGGTTGTAAAATACGGTAATAAGAATATATGGATACTTTGTAGCTAAAATTACTATATAAATTTTCACGATTTGAATAAAATGAACATAAAAAAAGATTTTTTAAACAATTTTAATAGTGTTAGAGCGAGAAATAGTAGATAAGATAATCAAAAACTAACTATTTATATTAAAAATATCATATAGGATCAAAAAAATTAGAAAATTCGATAATATAACATATTTAATAGCATTGTAAAATTTGGAGAGTTTAGAAAAAAAATAAGGCAATTAAGCTATCTCGGCTTTTACAGGTTTATATTACATATTTAGATATTTTAAACTATCTTACTTAAGTTGTAATTATTTAAACATAATTGAACATGGGATGGATATTTAGTTAATTTTGATAGTTTCTATAAATGAGGTCAATATATATGATTGAAAAAATTTAGAAAATTAAACAAAACCAAAGATAATTTTTTGAATAATTAATAAAATATAAACATTTAAGGATAATTCGAATACCTCATCTGATATCGATCAACTTTACTATTTATTTAAGTCTAGTGATTAATATTGATATACAGAATCTGTAAACAGAGTCTGTAAATACATAACGTAAATACAGAGTTTGTAAATTGGTATACTATATTTAGTTAATTTTGATAGTTTCTAAAAAGAGTGAATGCGGTCAATATATATGATTGAAAAAATTTAGAAAATTAATTAAAATTAAAGATAATTTTTGAATAATCAATAAATTAATATAAATATTAAGGATAATTTGAATACCTCACCTGATATCGATCAACTTTATTATTTATTTAAGTTTAGTGATTAATATTGATATACAGAGTCTATAAATACATAACGTAAATACAGAGTTTGTAAATTGGTATACTATAAACTAATGTTAATTAATTCAGTTCGAAGCTACCGGTTTAGACCTGGTCAAATGTATATAAACCTCCAATTGTAATTTGCTTTCCAATTAATGAGAATGAGATTTCATTTGGTAAAATGATATCAGAGCATCTGAAATCTCTAAGAAACTTTTCTTTCGCTTCTCGTTTCTTTAATTTTCGATTTTGGTTGTTTTGCCGGTTTCTCACCGGAAAACCACCATCATTTTCGTTTCTTTCAGCTCACTTCGTCTCTTCATCTCCTTGACGAGCTTTTTTCTTAGTTTTTCTGTGCGATTCAGCATTCTTTGTACGATTCTCCATCGTCTCTTCGCTGATATCGATTCTCAATGGGAAAACGAAAGTGAAAGTCGAAATATCGTTCATCTACACCAGATTCAGCAGCTCCGACGTCTCCGAAGACTCGTTACGAAGCATCGGCCTCAAATCCAACTCATGTAACATCGGAAGCAGCGGATTTCGTCTCTGGTTTTGCGAATCGCACCTATGGTCGCAGATCTATTTCTTCATCATCATCGGATCAGTTCAAGGTATCTAACAATCCCGATAACATCCACTCCCTTTATCATCTACATAGCTCTGATCATCCTGGCCTAGTTTTAGCATCGGAACCATTAGATGGGAATAACTATGGTATTTGGATCATTACTATGACTACTAGCTTAGAGGCTAAGAAAAAGATGGGATTTCTGGATGGATCAATAGTTAAACCTGCTGAATCTGATCCTTACTTCAAGATCTGGTGTCGTTGCAATACTATGGTCAAATCATGGCTTCTGAACAGCATATCGAAGAAGTTCTATACCAGTATTATGTATTTCAAAAATACTTCAGATATCTGGTCTGATCTCCACACTCGTTTTCATAAGTCAAATCTTCCACGACTATACAAACTTCGCCATCGGATTCATTCTTTCCGTCAAGGTAGCTTGGATCTTTTTTCATATCATACTCAGACTCAAGCACTTTGGGAGGAATTGTCTAATATATAAGTGACTCCATTAACTGTTGAAGCTCTGTTAGCTGAGAATGAGACTAATCGAGTCATTGATTTCCTCATGGGACTAAATGAGAACTATGAGAGTATCAGGAGTCGCTTTCTCATGAAGAAGAATCTGCCATCTTTGTCTGAGATTTATAATCTACTTCATAACGAGGATAGTCAACGAAATGCTTGTCAAACAACTTCAACTGATCTCACCACGCCTGCAGCTTTCCAAGTCTCTCAACAACAACCTCAGTCTGGTGGTAAATTTGTTCAGGCTTCATCAGAAACTCCATCAAATGGCTATGTGAAAAAGGAAAGGCCATATTGCACTTACTATCATCGTGTTGGACATATTATGGACCCCTGTTATAAGAAACATAGATATCCAACAGGCTCGAAACCAAGTCAGAAATCAACAGTTTCGGCCAATGCTGCTATTGGTGACATCTCTTTGTCTGACGTTGACTCTACTGACTTGTCTTCTCAAGCCGATTTATCCACAACTCAGATACAGCAGCTGGTTTCCTTCCTCAGCAGTAAGTTGCAGCCTCCTAATGATCAGATCAGTCTAGAAGTTCACTCTTTCTCAGCTAATCTCCATTCCTCATCCACCCCGAGTCCAATTCCTGGTAAATATTTTCCCTCTATCATTTGTTTTTTTGCGGGAATTGATAAGTCTTACAATTGTTCAACAAATGAAAATCTACTTACATTGAATGCTTGGGTGATAGACACAGGAGCAACTAACCATATTTCACATCAAAAATCATTTTTTCAAACTTTTAAATCTCTTTCTAACACCACTGTAACCCTTCCTAATGAAGTTTCTGTGAGCATTGTTGAGATAGAAAATATCCATTTGGGTAGTACTCTTGTTCTATCTGATGTTCTTTATATCCCTCAATTCAAATTCAATCTTCTTAGTGTCAGTTCTTTGACCAATAGCATTCATTGTCGATTCTGGTTTGATGAGTTCTCTTGTGCCATTCAGGATCCTCCACGGGATTAATAATTGGAATGGGTAGACAAGTGGCTAACCTTTACTTCATGGATATAGAGTCGGTCTCTCTCAAAGACTCTCTTCATACACCCGTAACTGCTTCTGTTTCTTCTATAGATACCTGGCACAAGAGGTTAGGGCATCCTTCCCTTTCCAAATTGCAACCTATGCAATCTATACTTTTTTTTCCTTCTCAAAAGACCAATACAGATTTTCATTGTAAAACTTGTCATTTGTCAAAACAAAGACATCTTCCTTTTGTTTCTAATAATAATCTCAGTGAAAATATTTTTGATATATTACATATTGATATCTGGGGTCCATTCTCTACTCCTACTCATGATGGTTTTAAGTACTTTCTCACCATTGTAGATGATTGTTATAGAGTTACATGGGTATACTTACTTAAAACTAAATCCGATGTTCTTCAGGTCTTTCCCAATTTTATCCAAATGATAGAAACTCAATTTGAAAGAAAAGTAAAACGGGTTAGATCTGACAATGCTTCAGAACTCAACTTCACCAAATTTTATCAATCTAAAGGCATTGTGCTATTTCACTCCTGCCCTGAAACACCCCAACAAAACTCTATTGTGGAACGCAAGCATCAACACATTTTAAATGTGGCTCGTTCTCTCTTTTTTCAATCCCATATTCCTCTCCCATATTGGGGTGACTGTATTCTTACTGTAGTTCATCTCATTAACCGACTCCCTGCTCCTGTGCTTCACAACAAGAGTCCCTTTGAGCTCTTAACCAAGAAACTTCTTGATTACAATCAATTAAAAACCTTTGGTTGTATTTGCTATTCCTCTACATCACCAAAGGGTCGTCATAAATTTGAACCCCGAGCTTGTGCATGTGTTTTTCTTGGTTATCCTCCTAGAGTCAAAGGTTACAAACTTCTCGATCTTGAATCTAATTCCATTTCCATTTCAAGACATGTTGTCTTTCATGAAGATTTATATCCCTTCCTTGGATCAGATCATTCTCCGACTGATATTCAGTTCTTTCCTGATTTGATTCCCTCCCCATCACTAAATCCACTTGTAGATAAGCATTCTTCTTATATTCCTGTTGAATCTTCAGATTCTCAATCTTTGACTCGTGAGAATTTTGTATCCTCTTCCACTTCGGAGATACCTTTCCTTCTCCATCTGATACTTCTTCTCACAGGAAATCCAAAAAACATGCTTATCTCCAAGATTGCTATTGCAACTCTGTCGGTTCCTCAACCATTCATGAAATTTCCAAATTCCTCTCTTACAATAAACTTTCCCAATCATACATCTCCTTCCTTGTTTCCATTGACAAAATCAAAGGACCCACCACCTATGCTGAGGCAAAGCAACTTCTAGTCTGGGATGATCCTATGGATGATGAGATAAATGCTTTAGAAAGCACTGAAACTTGGATCATTTGTACTCTGCCTCCCGGTAAAAAACCAATTGGATGTAAGTGGGTCTACAAGGTCAAGTTCAATGCAGATGGGACTGTTGAGCGTTACAAGGCTCGTTTAGTCGTCAAGGGTTATACGCAGCAGGAGGGAGTTGACTACACTGAAACATTCTCTCATGTCGTTAAACAAACAATGGTCAAAATCATTCTTGCTCTCTCTGCAATTCATGGTTTTTCTCTTCATCAATTAGATGGAGATCTCGATGAAGAGATTTACATGAAATTGCCTCTAGAATACGCTGACAGAAAGGGGGACTTGCTTCCATCAAATGCTGTTTGCAAGTTGCAAAAGTCCTTGTACGGCCTTAAACAAGCCTCAAGGCAGTGGTTTTTGAAGTTTTCATCGACTTCTTGTTTCATCAAAACCACTGCTAATGTATTTCTGTGCGTCCTTGTTTATGTCGATGATATAATCATTGCGAGCAATAATGACACCGAAGTTGATATATTGA